TATAATTTGCTTTTTTACTTAATCCTGTCTAATAGATATAATTTCATGTCAATACAAGCATATCTACCTAGCTCTTTTTAATAGTTGTATATTACTCTGTGTATTCATATATTGGGATGATACAGCCCATAGAGGGGACTTCTACGGTACATGAGAGAAGGGTGTGGAGATATCACAGGTATTTGAATACATAAAAACTGGAAGCCTATAGTCATTAGATAACTTTTGAGAATCAGGATCAACCAAGCCCTAATTCTTAATTTATGTTTACTAGTTTGAAATTTTTGTACCGTATTTTTCCGGTGTATAAGATGATCGGGCATATTAAAACATAGGTTTAGGCCTATATTCGCTGTATAAGACTACCCCCCACTTCCAAGGCAACACCAATTCTTTTTTTTAATAGACCACCTCCTCTCTGATTCTGGCCAATCTGAGCAGGCTTTTATTTTCATTTCAAAAGTCATCTTATACACCAGAAAATACGGTACTAAAAAAGGCACTATTATTGTAATAAAAATTTCTTTGAATATTAGAGAGATTATCACTAATATTGCTTTTGTATGTTTTTATCTTTCTAACTTGCCCATTGATTTCATTAGCCATTTTTCCTAACTTCAAATTTTTTCTATAGGTTTGTAACAATTCTTTTCCTATGAATATTATTATCTCACTAGTGACTGGGTGTACAAAATTTGTGCATGGGGCGGTGTCCCTCAGCCCAGCCTTTACCCTCTCCAATTGGGGGCCCTTTGGGGTTGTCCAACTGCTGGTTTACGCCCGATCCCTATGGACATCCCTAAACTGGCAGTCAGGCATCTCTCTCACAATCTGGGACCCCTGGCTTCTAACCACTCGCCTGCCTGCCTTCCTGATTACTCCTAACTGCCTCTGCTTATCTGCTTGATTGCTCCTAACTGCCCTCCACTGCAGGCCTTATCTTGCCCCTAAAGGCCCTCCCCTGCCAACCTGATATCACCCCTAACTGCCCTCCTCTGCTGGCCAATTTGGTTCTGATTGGTCAATTTCTATGGCAGTCAATGTCTCTGGGCCTATCAATAACCCTGGTGGAGGACTGGAGAGAAATGGAGGCATGGCTGCTGGCCAGACTGGGAGAGAAAGAGAAAGGCAAATGTTGATCAAAAGCTGCCACAGAGGCAACAGATCAGGCCCTGCTTCTCTCTTCAGGCCTCTCTCTGGCCCTGATTTGCAGGCCCCCTCAGCAGACAGTGCTGAGGCACCATGCCTGCAGTGGAAGCAGTAAGTGCCAGGTTGCCACGGCAACCCAGCTGACTGCAGTACTGACTTCCAGTTGGTTGAGCTTCGGTCTTTACTAGTCTTATGACCCAGGGTTTTTATATAATAGGATTGCCTCTTCTATATTGAATGTTTTTTCTAGTGTGTCATTTTTATTTTAAATGATAGTTTTGTTTTGGTTTTGGTTTTGCCATGTGGAGGGTTTAAGTGCACTGATGAGAGCCCTGAAACCACAGTTCTCCAAGAATAAAAATCAACTGGACATTGCTTATGCACTGAGAAAATCTTGAGATTAACAGCTTGTTTTTAGATCCCCTGTTTTGCAGTTATCTAAATTATAGCTTCTAGATTAAATAAAAAATACAAGTCACTTTCAGATAACTGAGATGCACAGCTCATTTCTTCCACCAATTAATATTTATCCTCCTTCAAAAGTATACACAACTGTTACTTTTTTTTCAAGCAATTTCTGGGAATGACTGCCCCAGTATATTCTTCTGTGCCTTGTACTCTTAGTCTCATTTTGTTCAGTAGTTCGCACTTATTGCTGTAATATTTTTCTTTTAATTATAACCCGTTTCTTGACATCAACCTTAGGGTAGAAAGTCAAATAGAAAACACATCTCCTTAGAATATTTTTGGCTCTTTGCACGTCTGCTTTGATCTAGCTCCTCATTATCCTTTCAGCTACAGTTTAATGTTCTTCATTCTTCTTTCCTATGTATTCTCCATGGAGCTGTTCCCCATGTTGCTCTTTTTCTGTTCCCCTGTGGTATCACTGCCTTCTACAGCATACACACAGTTTCCTATCACTGCTGGTGCGTGATAGCAAAGTTCTGAGTCTCCAGTCTTGTTTATGCTGCTGCTTCCCATTTCCATAGAGATCACAAGGGTAATCTTCAATTGTAAATAAGCAGCTGCCACAGCTCCTGAGAACCAAGGATGAGCAGTTGTTTTCCAAATACTTGATATAACAAAACCACTGTTTCCCACAACCATCTCTACTTTTTCACCTTGTAGTGTTCTTCATGAGACTTACCATGATATTTATATCTATGTCTATGTCTATATCTATATTGTTTATATTTAATTCATATATATATATATATATATATATATATATATATATATATATATATTTGTGAGATACCAGACTGTAAAGTTCACAAAGGCAAGGATCATGCCTGTTTTGTTTAGTAGTATGAAATCCGCCATTAGTACAGTGCACAACACATCATAGGCCTTCAATTAATAGCTACTTATTAGAGAACTAGTGGCCTGGTGTATGAAATTCATGTAAAAGTAGGCCTTCCTTCCCCAGCTACTGGCACTACCTTCCCTCTGGCACTGGGGACCCAGGCTTCCCTCACAGCCAAGGCTTTGTCTGGAAGGTTATCCAGAAGGATGTCTGGAAAGACATCTCATCTAATTAGTATATTATGCTTTTATGCTTTAATTAATATAGATGTTACTTATTAAATGCTAAATGCATTACAACCATTTGTATTATACTACCTCTCATTTTACTTCTTGCAAATTTATAGTTTTTAGACTTTTTCTTAAATAAATAAAACATTGTAAGTCCAATTCCCTCTACTTCTTGCCCAAACATTACTATGAGAATAGAGTCGATATTTTTATTCCCCTAAATTTCTTTATATTTTCACGATATGTGCTGATATTAGAAAAGCATGTCAGATATGTGCCGAACTATCCCCTAGAGGTACTGACTGATTTACCTAGAGACAAAATCTGAGGACGTGAGAAGCTAGACAGAAAGCAGCTGAAAAAAAGGAGAGAGCTGAATACAAGAACAGGAGAATAATTAAAATTCAGGCTCTACAAATAATAAATCTAGGTGAACACCCCAAGCATAAGTTCAGCCTAGGAGGAGGAATAAATATTGACCTGTGTTGAATGAACCGAGACCCTAGATGGATGAAGGTCATCTCTCTCAACCTTAAAAAACTACTACCAGAAGAAAATAAATTCTTTTTGAACGATTAATAACATAATCCAAACACTTAAATTATATGAGCATTTTTACACACAAAAAGTCCTTTATTAAATAAAAAAATAAGCAGGCATTATAAAAGAATAATATAATGGAATTTAGAGACAGATGTTATGGTAACTATGATTATGATTTTTAAGAAATCCTGAGTGTAAATAATTGATGAATGTATATATGCATTTAAGTTTTAAAATATCAATCAACATCATTAGATAAATTGAGAGATGGTGGATGGTAAGGATTATTTGATGAAATATACCTTGCTTTTGGTGGAAATTTGGGCTAAAATATTTCCTATAGTATCATGTTTTTTTTCTTATTTAGGGTCATAGCAAGGTCATATTAACTCAGGTAATACTTTCTATCTCATTCAAAATTGTATTACTCTTTTTAATTTAGACCCTAAAATATAAATCAATGTGAGAGCTATTTTTCTTTTTTTAAATATTTTTTTTATTGATTTCAGAGAGGAAGGGAAAGGGAGAGATAGAAACATCAATGATGAGCCCTAGCTGATTTAGCTCAGTGGATGGAGCATCAGCCTGGGGACCCAAGAGTCCTGGGTTCAATTCTGGTCACATGCCTGGATTGCAGGCTCAGTCTATCGTGCAGGAGGCACCCAATTGATGATTCCCTCTCATCATTGATGTTTCTATCTCTCTCTTCCTCTTCCTTCCTAAAATCAATAAAAACATATTTTAAAAAAATCAATGATGAGAGAATCATTAATTGGCTATCTCCTACATTGCCCCTATTGGAGATTGAACCTGCATACCTGGGCATGTATCCTGATTGGCACTGAACCTTGACCTCCTCGATTCATAGGTCAACACTTCACCACTGAGCCACACCAGTAGCTTCAATTAATTAAATAAGTAGCTATTAATTGAAGGCCTATTTTTTTAATATTTGTCATTTGTATCTATGTGTATATATATATTTACATATATATATTGATATATGCATGCATTACATATTTATATAGTATGTATATGTTAAAAAGAAAATGCTATCAGTCTTACATATTGGGTGAGTGTTTACAAGGTTATGAAAAGACTTGGTATATTCACTGGGCTTGTGCTTGTATTACCATGAGCCTTATTACAAGATTGAAAACACATGCAGAGTACATGTTCAGCAGCAGTAGGAATCTTGTCTTTAGCCTAAGCTTGTTTAATGTAAAACACAGACCTGCCAAGGAGCTCTGTAGACCTGACTAATGGTCCACCATGGACCATTTACCAGAGGAATGAGAAATATTTCTTGAAATAAATTGTAAGCAAATAGGAGATGAAGTTATTTAAGCTTGTTTCAAGAAAATTGCCAACAGATGAATGTGAGATATGGTTTTATAATTACATGGTATCTGCTACTCTGATACATCTGATGTGTCTTTAAAATTAAGACATATGAATATGGAGTGTATGATACAACCAAAGAGTCTCTTTAGAGACAAACATGCTAGGATATCCATCAGGAGCTACAAGTACCATCACATTGTCACTAAGCAAATGGAGTCTATTTCCCTGACACCCAATATTGTTTAATGAAAGCATTCCAGTGTGTAGTTTTTTTTCCTACATAGGAAAGTTTATAAGGAGATATCACAAAAATAGAAGTATTTATGATTTATTATAATTAATGTGGTATATAGGTAAAGTAAGGTACTTTTTGTGGGTTTTTTAGGCACAATCTTGTTTTTGATACATTAATATGTGTTTAATTTTAGGTTTCCTCAAGAACTAAACATGGGAAAAATAAGTGCTGAAATTATGTGGACCCTTTTTGCTCTGGATATGAAATATGCACTAGAAGGTAATTCCAAATAACTCTTTTTATTATAATAAAACATACATTTTAGTGAAATCTTTATTTCTTGTTCTCATTTTTAAATGCAAGGATTGATTAATTAAAACATGGATTGCTTCATATGAGAGTTCTATTTTTTAAAATTATTTATTGTTTAGAGTATTACATATGTCTCCTTTTTCCCCATTGACCTCTCCCCAGCCACCCCAGCACCCAGCACATGCCCTCACTCCCCTAGTGTCTGTGTCCTTTGGTTATGCTTATATGCATGCATACAAGTCCTTTGGTTGATCTCTTACTCCTCCCCTGCTTTTCCTCTGAGGTTTAATGATCTGTTTGATGCTTCTCTGTCTCTGTGTCTATTTTTGTTCAACAGTTTATGTTGCCCATTATATTCCACAAATGAGTGAGATCATGTGATATTTATCTTTCTCTGACTCGCTTATTTTGCTTAGCATAATGCTCTCCAGGTTCATCTATACTATTGTGAATGGTAAGAGTTCTTTATATTTTCAGCAATGTAGTATTCCATATGGTAATACATGGTATCTGCTACCCCAATCCAATGTCGTACAATGTGTATATGTACCACAGTTTTTTAATTTATTTATCGGCTAACAGGCACTTAGGCTGTTTTCAAATCTTAGCTATTGTAAATTGTGCTGCTATGAACATAGGGGTACATATGTCCTTTTTGGTTGGTGTTTTTGTTTTCTTGGGATATATTCCCAGAAGTGGGATTACTGGATTGAATGAGAGTTCCATGTTTAATTTTTTGAAGAATCTCCATACTGTTCTCCACAATGGTTGCACCAGTCTGCATTCCCAACAGAAGTGCAGGAGGGTTCCTGTTTCTCCACATCCTCACCAGCACTTGTTTGTTGATTTGTTGATGATAACCATCTGACCAGTGTGAGATGGTACCTCATTGTCATTTTTATTTGTATCTCTCAGATGATTAGTGAATTTGAGCATGTTTTCCTGGTTTTATTTTGTAAAAACCTCCATACTGTTTCCCATAGTTGCCCCTTTTACAATCCCAGCAAGAGTGCAAAAGGGTTCCCTTTTCTCTACATCTTCTCCAACACTTGCTGTTTATTGTCTTATTGATGATAGCAATTCTAACAGGTATGAGGTAATATCTCACTATGGTTTTAATTTTTGTTTTTCTGATGATTAATGATGTTGAGCATCTTTTCATGTCTATTGGCCATTTAAATGTCCTCTTTGAAGAAATGTCTCTTCAGGTCCTCTGGCCTTTTTATTTAATCTGATTGTTTGGTTTTCTTGGTGATAAATATGTAAGTTCTTTAGGTATTTTGGGTGTTAACCACTTATCAAATCTATCATTTTACACACACACACACACACACACACACACACACACACACACACAAAACACCCAAAGCCTTGTGAACAGTTTGTTCTAAAAAGTATTCCCACAATAGGAAGATAATTTTCTCAAAGTATTTAAAAGCAATAAGAAGTGCATACATTTTCATCAAATGGTCTCAGGTGTAGGATCATAGTGATATCTTACTTGTAAGATAATGCTCAGATGCAGATGCAGGACTACTTGATGGTAGTTTATTGATTAAAGCAGGCCATGTTGAGAGTGCGGCTATTCATCTGCTTGGGCATAGAAATGGTAGCCACAGCTAGGTAGGTTAACATCTGGCCGAAGCTTGCACAAGGACAATAGCAAGGCTCTTCACCAGAAACTTCACTTTTAATAAATCTAAGTCATACAATGTAAAGGAAGGGAATGCAGGTCTGAGATTAAAAATTCTCTAAATATTATTTGAGCACTCCCATGTTTAGAGTGAGAGATAGAACCACAAACAAGTCAATGGCTTCTGTCTCCTAGGAACTTATCATCTAGTAAGTAATTGTCTTTACACGTATTCAGCAAATATGTAGTGAGCCCCTAGAAGCTAAATTCACATATCTACACTCTCTGTGGAAGGTACAACAATGAACAGGATAGCGATGGTCCCTGGCCACAAGAACTCAGCAGGCCCCTGAGCCAGAAAGAGCAAGGAGTGGGGCAGGGGAGATTGATGGGGACCAGCATGCAGAGACATGTAGTCCATGGTGAGATGTGTGACTCTCTGCCTAGAGAATCAAGGGACCATAAAGGGACTTCATCAGGGACAGGTCTTTTCAGATAAAGCATTTTGACCGAAGTATGGAAAATAGATTAATAAATAGGGTAAGACTGGTTCAGAGTTCATGCCGCCGTTTTCTAGCATTGCTAAAATGTAAGCTTGCTACTAAGGGACACAGAAGGACCATAAAGATCTTTCCCTTGTTTGGGAAAAAAAAAAGGTACACAGTAGGTTATTTTATCAACTTTTCTGGTAAAGTCTGGGTCTACTACCTCACACATATAGAGATTTATCTAATCCTTAAGATTACAGCAGAACTGCTTAGAGGGGCAAAATTTATATTCTGCAATGCAGTGTTTCTTCTCTGATGTTTTCATCAGTACTGCTCTTTCTCTGCCTTCAACCAACCACATCCTTTTTATACATCTCTGCTCGGATTGTCTCTTTGGAATCCAACAAGTATCTTAAGTCAAATGGGATCCACCAGTCCACTAGCCGGTGGATTTCTTTAGAGAGCAATTTTGCTACCCTAGTCCTATGCCATATATTCCTCTGCCATCCTTGAATGTCTATCAGGCATCTTATACTTTACTAGAGGTTCAGCGGGGGTCTCTCAGCCCGGCTTGCCCCCTCTCATAGTCTAGGAGCCCTTATGGGTGGGAGGTGACCCAGTGATCAGGGGAAAGCAACGCCCCCATCATACCTCTGCTGCTGCCACTGTGGGCAGCACAAGCCTCGGCTGCCCCTGGTTACTTGAGCCTTGGGCATTTCTGGCGACTGGGCAGCCAACATATGAGGCTTGCCTGTGCCTTAGGCGAGCCCTGGACAGCTGAGGGGCTGAGGACAGGTCCAGCCACACTATGCACCTGCCATTCCCCTGCGGCTGGGCTGAGGGGACTGGGTGCTGCCATCCTGTGGCTATGGGCACTGCCATATTTGTGACAGTGTGATGGTCAATTTGCATATCCCCTCTTTATTAGATAGGATATGGTCAATATAGAAGTCTGAATCTACCCTGTCAGAATCTGCTTCTTCCCACTGGCTGGCCCCCTTCCCAATTGCAATTATTGGCACCACTATTCATGCAGTTACTTCAGTCAAACATGTAGGGTTGCCATTGGTTCCTTTATTTTTCCCAGCACACTTAGTTTACTCCAGGTTTGGGCTTTATGCCAGGTCGTCTACTGCCTGGACGTCTCTTTCCACCAACCGTCACAGCAGCTGTGTATGGCTCAGCTTCATGCCACCTCCTCAGAATCAAACATCATTCCCAGGAGTAACCTCAGCTGAGTCCTTTTTTTTTTTTTTTTTAATATATTTTATTGATTTTACACAGAGAGGAATTGAGAGGGACAGAGAGTTAGAAACGTCGATGAGAGAGAAACATCGACCAGCCCGCAACCAAGGTACATGCCCTTGACCAGAATCGAACCCGGGACCCTTCAGTCCACAGGCCGACGCTCTATCTACTGAGCCAAACCGGTCCCGGCCAGCTAAGTCCTTTGTATAGCAACTGATTACTATCTTTGACTTATTTGTTTGTGTGTTTGTGCTTGTTCAATTGATATTAATAGTATTCCTCACTGCAATGTATAATTTTGTCTATGGTTTTTTTACCCACATAGCTATATTGCCTAGAACAAAGCCTAGGAAATAGAAGCTACTCAGTAACTATTTGTTGCATAAAAAGTTCACCAGATAATTCCAACTCAATGGAGTGGTGATTAGTGAAAAGGGCAGTGGTGGAGACTTCCGCTTGATCTTCTTTTGTTATGTGATCTTGGGAAACTTCTGAGAAATCAACACCTTTGTGTTTCTTTCTCCTCACCTGTAAAATGAAAGGTTCATGTTGGATCAATGGGCTGAGCAATGGGCAGGGAGGCTACTGCCCACACTTATGAGAAAATTGATTGCTTGGAACTATTCCAAAGTGGCACTGCTAGCCAGGGCACATTTTATTTGAACAGGCTTATATCTTTGCTTATATAGTAGCAGTGTGCAAATATTGGGTATTTTATGTTCCCTTTACTTATAAAACCGTGTGTTAATTTGAGAAATGTAAGTATAATATCTGTGTTAAAAAATTTAAAGCTCAAAAATTTAGTATTTGAGACAATGAAATTAGAAATACTACAAGTAAAGCATCTGTAACTTTGAACAGATGCTTATGGATTATAGATTAATAATTTTGTGCAATAACAGTATCCCAAAATGCAGAGATTGTATTTTCAAAAATCAGACCCAAGGTCGGTGGTAATTAATAATTTTGTGATTATCTTAGCTTGCTGGAGACAATTTTATTATTAGTTTGACTTTTTTAATAGCAGATTTGATATTTAAATAATATACCATATAACTTACCTACTTAAAGTTTATAGCCCAGAGTTGTTATATTTGCTGATTTATACACATTGTCAAGAATGCATGTAAAGGAGTAACTTGAATTGTAGTTCATGGTTTATGCATCTTCTCACACAGATGAGAGGGCTTTTGAGTGCAAAGATTATATATGTCATCTTTGTGTTCATTGAATCTTAACAGAAATTCAATAGGCTCTTGTTTATTTGACTCGAATTGCAAATGTGACAACCCGACACAAAGAACCTTGGAAACAAGGCCAGAACACCTGCCATGTTCAAACTTACAATTTGTAGTATTGCAAGTTGAAAGGCAGCCAGAGATCTGAGTCGGGAAAATCCAATTTCAGAAAGCTTCATCATGTATGAGCTGCACAACCTTGGACAGTTAATGCATAATCTCTCCAAACTTTAGTTTTCTTTTCTATAAAAAGGTGATAAGAATTTTCAGATTGATGTGAAGATCACCTGACACATTAAATGTACTTTGCAAACTCTAAAGCACTGTGCTGGTGGGAGACCATTGCTGTTATCTATAATA